GCTACATCTACACTGGCAGCTTCTTGCGCAAGAACTCTTTTGCGGAAGAGTTCTTGTACAAAAACTCTTCCAGAAGAGAGCGTCTACATTGGCATGTGCTTTTGCACAAGAGATGTGCTTTTGCGCAAGAGCATCCATGCCAGTGTAGACGCTCTCTTGCGCAAGAAAGCTCTGATGGCCATTTTAAGCATAGGGCTTTCTTGCATAAGACATCATGTTGCCTGTCTACACTGGCTTCTTGCACAAGAACAGTTGCGCAAGAGGGCTTATTCCTGAGCGGGAGCATCATAGTTCTTGCACAAGAAGCCCTGATTTTATACAGCAGAACATCAATTTACTTGCGCAAGAACACACGGCCAGTGTAGACAGGCAGCAAGTTTTTGCGCAAGAGCAGACGCTTTGGCGCAAGATCACGCCAGTGTAGACACAGCCACAGTCTTTTTTAAGTGATTTCAAATGAAAGGTGCCACAATATACAAATGAAATCTCCTCTCTCTGCTATTAACAGACTATCAAGAAGACAACAGAATGGAGAATACAAAGAAAAGCACTGGCAAGATGAAAGAAAAACAGGCACTGAAAAAGAAAGTGGTGAGTTTGGATTTTTTGTACCTCTGCCTCCTAATTTTTTTTATCATAACAAACATTCACTTTTGGAGTGAAGATATAGAAGGTAATTGACAATGAGCAGACCTGCAACACTAATGCATAGATGTGTAAAGGAATTTAGGCATTGCAGTGCTCAGCATTGCAACACTTAAATATTTAGGAGCCTAGATTATCTTTTTAGAAAGGGATTTAGGCACTTAGGAGCCAAGGTCCCATTGACAGTCTACTTTGAGTCTAAATCCCTTTCTGATGAGATTTAGGCTCTTAAATAATTTGGCTGTGTCTAGACTGGCCAGTTTTTCTGGAAAATCAGCCGCTTTTCTGGAAAAGCTTGCCAGCTGTCCACACTGGCCACTTGAATTTCCGCAAAAGCACTGACTTCCTACTGTAAGAAATCAGTGCTTTTTGCAGAAATACTATGCTGCTCCCATTCGGGCAAAAGTCCCTTTTGCGCAAAACTTTTGCACAAAAGGGCCAGTGTAAACAGCTGAGATTTGCTTTCCGTAAAAAAGCGATCGGGACTTTTTTGCGGAAAAGCGTGTCTAGATTGGCCCCGGACGCTTTTCCGCAAAAAGTGCTTTTGCGGAAAAGCGTCCGTGCCAATCTAGATGCTCTGTTCCGAAAATGCTTTTAACGGAAAACTTTTCCATTAAAAGCATTTGCGGAAAATCATGCCAGTCTAGACGTAGCCTTTAAGTATTGAATTGTGGTGAGGACAGAAGTCCTAAATACCTTTACTAATCTGAACCTAATTGCTTTGTTTCTTTGGAGTGGAAGAAGAGGCTTGAGGTCTAGCCAGTTTTGGGATTTATGAGGCTGACGTTCAGTTTCTAGAATATCTTTCACCCTTTATTGGGCTTGTATATTTAGGCTGTAAACTTTCTGGATTTGCGATTTCCTGTGACTACATATCTGCACAATTGTCTACCACACAGAGGCCCTGAACTCTGAGTTGCTACCATTATATAGATTTTGGAATAACTCAAATGCAGCATTGGGCAAACTAAATGTTTGAGGATGTTTGATGAGAAGCTGCAGATAGGACCCTTTCTGTGGAAACTTCTGTTTTGCTTCTTCCTTCCCCTTTTTGGGCCATAGCCTAGGTTTGTCAACCATCTAGAAATGTTGTATAACCCTTTCCTCACGGATATTTAAGAAGGAAATAACCTGAGTTGTCCTTGAATGAGGAAGTGAGGGAGTTGCTGAAGGAATGATTTGATGGATATACATTTTAAGATGTATCACAGTGTATTTTGCTGGGTTGCTGTTAATCTACTATGAACAATAAGAGACCAAAAGCATTTAGAATGTCCAGGCAAGGCTTGTACAAAAACTCCATGCACATGGTCACAGTTTTGGTGCAACTGCACGTTTTTCCACCAAGGGCACTGACATCAGGGTTTCCAGCTCCCACTCATCACCTCTCCTATGCAGAGACTAATGTCCCACTTCTTCCTGACTGGGGGTTTTAAGGTTGCACAGCTTCCTGGATTTACATGGCTATCCCCAACAAGTTTAAAAATTACCAGTGAGCCAAAAGCACACACAGCTATGTACATGTAATCACAGAAATGTAGGGCTTAAGAAATCAAATATTCAACCTCCCTCCTCCTCCCCCCTATGCCAAGGCAGGATTAAGTGTACTTTGGTGTCCAACCAGTTCTAAAGCAGTGGCCACTATACTGGTTACTGCTATAGCAAACCAGCCACACTCAACTGGCCAAATAGCCACATGTGGCTAGTGGCTAGTGGCTAGCGGCTAGCGTGTTGGACACCATGGACCTAGACTATCCCAGACAGACATTTGTCTAATCTTAAAAACGTTCACTGATGATTTCACAATCCCTCTGCATAATCAGTTCTAATACTTAACTGTTTTCACTGTTAGGAAGCTTTGCCCAATATACAGCATAAATCTGTTTTGCAGTTTAATAGACCAAGTACACTACGTTTCCATCTCAAATTGCCAGTGCTAATCAATAATACAACAGCTAAAATATATCCCTAAAGTCCACAGAGTAATTGCACCAAGTTTCTACTTTTGCAGAAGGAACAAGACCTACGGCTACACAGTGGTATGGTATCACCTTACAAATCTGACTTCTTTAATTCCTCTTGTAAGCCTACTGACAGCCACACAACACTATGCAAGTACCAAACATCAGGGCTACGTCTACACTGGCATGATTTTGCACAAGTACTCTTTTGCGGAAGAGTTCTTGTGCAAAAACCCTTCCAGAAGAGTGTCTACACTGGCATGTGCCTTTGCACAAGAGATGTGCTTTTGTGCAAGAGCATCCTTGCCAGTGTAGATGCTCTCTTGCGCAAGAAAGCTCTGATGGCCATTTTAACCATAGGGCTTTCTTGTGCAAGTAATTCATGTTGCCTGTCTACATTGGCCTCTTGCGCAAGAACAGTTGGGCAAGAGGGCTTATTCCTGAGCGGGAGCATCATAGTTCTTGCGCAAGAAGCACTGATTTCATACATTAGAACGCCAGTGTTTTTGCGCAAGAACTCACGGCCAGTGTAGACAGGCAGCAAGTTTTGGCAGAAAAGCGGGTGCTTTTGCACAAGATCGCACCAACATCGACACGGCCCAGGGGTTCTATGTCTCTCAGAGGTTAAACTGCTTGTAACATTTAACAAGACAGCAATACGATCCTTTTCCCTATGTAATTACTGGAGTGAGTGGGAATAACAGAAATGGAGCAACTGATATGATAACAGAATGTAATTATAATGCTTGCAGGTATATGTATCAATGTAGCTGATTATGTGTTTTGATGTGATAATATTGTTCCATTGATAGTAAAGGACAATTGCACTGTCATTCTCACCCCCCCATACCTTTTAGAGCTGTAGGCAAGTTAAGCTGCACTTTTGCAGCCTGTGCCAATCAATCAGACTATATGGTGCAGGGGAGAAGCTGACAATAATGAAAATGGAACCAGTTAATTTCACTGAGGTGTATTTCCCCTTGAATTCTTCTAAATCCCCACTGACTCCTGGAGACACCCATGTGTCCCCTACTCAAATGCATCTTCACAGGAATTTTCATCTATATTTATCAGAGGGGTAGCTGTGTTAGTCTGTATCTGCAGAAACAGCATGGAGTCCTGGAGCACCCTAAAGACTTGACTTAGATCCACAGAGGCACAAGTCCTCCCTGGGAAAACCCCTCCCCATCAGATGCATCTCATGAAGTGGGATCCTGCCCACACCCAAACAAATCTGTTGGTCTTTAAGGCCTCTCCTCCTTTTTTCACGTGAATTGGACAGCTGTAGCTGAAAAATATCAAGGCGACTAATGGGCGCCAGGCACTCCCCTTATGAGAACTAGCCCCTTCCGCGGGCTGCTGTGCCCTGGGCGCAAGGAATCCCCCTTCCCGGGCCACAAGCCTCTCACAATGGCCATACAGCGTGTGCAGGAACGCGGCGCCCTGGCGGGCCAAGTCCCATCGACACGGCCCAGGGGTTCTATGTCTCTCAGAGGTTAAACTGCTTGTAACATTTAACAAGACAGCAATACGATCCTTTTCCCTATGTAATTACTGGAGTGAGTGGGAATAACAGAAATGGAGCAACTGATATGATAACAGAATGTAATTATAATGCTTGCAGGTATATGTATCAATGTAGCTGATTATGTGTTTTGATGTGATAATATTGTTCCATTGATAGTAAAGGACAATTGCACTGTCATTCTCACCCCCCCATACCTTTTAGAGCTGTAGGCAAGTTAAGCTGCACTTTTGCAGCCTGTGCCAATCAATCAGACTATATGGTGCAGGGGAGAAGCTGACAATAATGAAAATGGAACCAGTTAATTTCACTGAGGTGTATTTCCCCTTGAATTCTTCTAAATCCCCACTGACTCCTGGAGACACCCATGTGTCCCCTACTCAAATGCATCTTCACAGGAATTTTCATCTATATTTATCAGAGGGGTAGCTGTGTTAGTCTGTATCTGCAGAAACAGCATGGAGTCCTGGAGCACCCTAAAGACTTGACTTAGATCCACAGAGGCACAAGTCCTCCCTGGGAAAACCCCTCCCCATCAGATGCATCTCATGAAGTGGGATCCTGCCCACACCCAAACAAATCTGTTGGTCTTTAAGGCCTCTCCTCCTTTTTTCACGTGAATTGGACAGCTGTAGCTGAAAAATATCAAGGCGACTAATGGGCGCCAGGCACTCCCCTTATGAGAACTAGCCCCTTCCGCGGGCTGCTGTGCCCTGGGCGCAAGGAATCCCCCTTCCCGGGCCACAAGCCTCTCACAATGGCCATACAGCGTGTGCAGGAACGCGGCGCCCTGGCGGGCCAAGTCCGAGCTGCTGAGAGCGGAGCGAACAAAACCCAGCCCGGCTCGCAGAGCAGCTCTCCTCAGTGCCTAGCACCGCACGGTCGGGGAGTCCCCGGGCCGCCGCCCTGAAGCTCCCTGCTACCTACTGACTGGCTGGCTCGCCTAACAGGCAGCCGCGCGAAGGCAGCGTCACAGGCCCCGAAAGCAGCACATTGAACGCCCGGAGGCAAAGTCCCGCCAGCTGCAGAAGAGAGAAACGCGTAACTAGCGCCACGTGGCTGCTAACGGTGCTTTCTGGAAGGGAAATGAAACAAAAACGAGCGAGCTCAGCTCGCCCCGGGAGTTGCGCTCGCAGCGTTACACAACGCGCTCCCCTGCCCCCAGCGCAGCGCAGCGCGCGGAGAGGGGCTCGGGGTTTGGGCCTATGGTGCACGCGGACTGGCTGCAACCTCCTCGTAGGCAGCTGTGCTAAGGTGGCGCCCGCCGCAGAACCCAGACTCACCCGGAAATGGCCAATGCGGTGCCCCTGCTACAAAGCACCAGCAGGAGAGAGAAAAACGTAAGTTGCACCACGTAGGCGCAAGCGGAAATTTGGTCTGGGAGCGTGAAAGGAGACGTCGAGGCTACTTTCCGCAGAGGAGCCCTTTAATTTTGTGGCTCGCCAAAGGAATTTAGTGGAGAGGTCAGAGATGGTGTAGGGATTTTCATGGACTTTCCCTGCCAACGCTGTGCAAATCGTACTGTGACCAGAGGGCAATTGTTGGAACAATTATCTTGCGCATTAAAGAAAAACAAAAAGAAAGGGGGAAGGGACAAAGGGATTTCCCCCATGTTGGTGGATGCTCGGTACCCGAGATAATTATCTCAACTCTCCTTGAGAATGGAGCAAAAAAATCCCTGCTTAGTCCTGCCTCCTTTAGGAAACTTGTGGTGCTGATGTTTTAGTAGAGAGAGGCTGGCTGATACACAGCTGTGAGTCTACTGAGCTAGAAGTTGGATCATTAGCAGAATAATGGAGGGAACCTGGAGGTTTCCTGGGGAAGGGAGTGAATTGCTGAGTATAAGAACTGAAGAAGAATTTCTTTTATGAAATTCTTCTTCAGACAAATATTACATTTTACAGCTTGCTCTCTAATTGTAATCCTAGAGGCTGTACCTCTGCAAGTTTGAATTGGGTGTTAAAAAACAGGGCTGCAAATGTTACCATTTAAAATAAAATAAGACCAAGATTGACACTTTGGAATAGACTTCGAAGGGAAGTTGTGGAATCCTAGTAATTAGAGGTTTCACAGGACAGATTGGACAATCACCTGGAAGGGTGGTGTGCATGTTGTTGAAAGCCCATCCAGGTTTTTCCTTGGCAGACTCTTTCTATAGAAAGTCTTCCTGGATAGACAGACCATGGATCGACAGACAATCCTCACTCATGTACATATCTTCTTTACTGTGGCTGATTCTGTAGAACTTCCCATGGTTGACATACCCAAACACTTATTCCGTAACACCTAAAAGCTCACATATGTAAATCTGGGTTAATGCTGGTTATGTATCATATGTATCTCATAACTTTATAATACAAGCATTACCTCAAACGTGCAGAACCTTTCTTTTAAACCTGTGTAATGTGAAATTTGATTAGAGACTCTGTCTCTTCCGCCTGAGGCCTCACCCCTTTTGGGGTGGCCTGCAACCACTTCTGAAATTCATGAAGTGGCCCCTCTTCAAAAATTTTTGCCCATCCCTGTGCTGGAGTATTCAGAGATTTCTGTTCTGGACTCTCTGTTATCACTTCACTGAAGGGAAAGCCATCAATGTGGCAGTAAGCGTAGCCGTACCTTGAATAATGACCTCTGGCTAATACAAGGAAACTGATAATGTGTGAGGAATAGTAGTTAATGTTACATGTTTTACTTTCCTTGTGATTACCCAAGTGTAAGGGAAAGAACTTTTAAAGTGCTTGGGATCTCATCAGTTTTAATATTTTTTTCCCAAAAGCAGGTGTCTGATAAAGCTCCTACATAATTCTTCTTTCTTCTGTTTCTTGCTTTCCTGAAATTTGAGTAAAGCAGAAATAGTGAGAGTGGAGCGGCAGATCTCAAACAAAAGAGGAGAAGCATGCTGCTTTAAAACTCTGGAGCAAGAAATTTTGAATTTTGGGGAATTTCGTACAATGGTTTGCTTGCATAGAGATCTTGCATGGCACACAAAGTGACATATAAGCCCTGTGCAGGAGTGACCATTACCATGTGAAAGGATGCAGGAGAGGAGTGTTCCTGATTGGCAGCATTTCTATGACTTTTACGCTGGGTCTGCCACTTTTTAACCACCTCTGAAGAAGTGGGTTGTGCCCACGAAAGATCATGGTACTATATAGCTCTTGTTCCTTCAGTGTTTGCTTTGCTACTCATCTCCTAGCCTGCCTTTAGCAGCAGATCTAATAGTGCAGTAACACTGGTGTGAAGGGACCAAGCATCAGAACTCAAATGTTTCTGTTGATGGGTATAAAGAGCCTGCATTTCCAAAATGCCCCTTCTCATCAAAACTGAATAACACACTTTTCTTTCATTGTTTCCTTCTGGAAAATTGGTGGATGGTATCAAGCCATCTTGCAGTAAGCGGACAACGCAATGGGACACATTTCCCACCCAGGACTTCATGTGCATAATTGTCACTGCTTTGAATAGGAAAAGAATGGGAAAAGAAAGCTGTCTAGTTCTCTGAAAATTTACCACCGTGCACAGAAGTTAAAAACTCCAGTGTCTACAACAGAGCATGTTTGAGCCGTCTGTGACTTGAAATACAGGAAATGACTGACCTGAGCAGATGTCCCCTTGTGCTGCAGTATTTGTCCTGACACATGAATCTTCCCCAGTTGTTAGTAAACCATGCCCAGCAGTGATAATGCAATAGGAAAAGGCTGCTTAAGAGCCTCTCTGTCAACTTCAGTAGACACCAAACCCTGTATGCTGCTCCACTAACCGATTGCATCAATGACTGCTACGATGAAGCAGCTATAAAATCCCTACTAATCCCCTGGAAATGATCAGTGGTTTATTTCTAAAGGAGGTCCATTTTAAGAGGCCCTTCTATTTCTGAGCGGAATAGAGATGATTGTCCATATGAAATAAATCTGATTGGGCTTAAACAGGTGAGTCTGCATTAGGAATGCAGATATAGGGTAAAAAAAGTTGCTAAATCCCAGTTTCCAAAATGTTTGAGTCCTTTTGAAAATAAAACTTATTGACTTTCAATTACCGTAAGCACTTAGAACAAATTTATGAGGTATCAGAATGGCCCTTGAATCTGTAGCAACAAAGAGAAACTGTCATCCAGGATCAGCATTCCAAAATAACTTCTACCACACCATAACTTTCCATGGGAAATTCTATATAGAGCATTGGCTCAGGGAAGGTATAAGTTGCTTCTCTGATTATGTCCTTGTACCCATGCTGAGAGCACATTCCATTCTAGTCATCTTTAACTCAGAGAGAGAACAAAATGGACAATGTTGGGGAAATAGAAGGAACATATAATTAGGTCTGTCAATTGATACGCATTGATGCCTGTCATTAACGCAAGGAAGGATTAATGCATTAATTTTTAACATGTTAATTGCAGGCGTTAATGCTGCACTGCCCCTTTGAAGTGCTGTTCTGGAGCTTCAAAGGGGCAGTGCATTAGGAGCCCGGTATCAGTTGGACTGCCCAACTGATCCCAGGCTCCGCCTTGTGCTGCCCCTTTGAAGTCCTGCTGGGGTCAGCTGAGGATTCCCTTGGAAACACTGGGGCGGCTTTAATCATTAATCGTGATTAATTTGTTTAATCACTTGACAGCCTAATAACTCCCAAACTTGTCCATAAAAGAGGCAGACTTCGCAGGCATAATTGGAAACAGAGAAACAGCTGAGACATTTTGTTGGTTTGGATTTTGACTTTTGTGTTTGAGAACACTGAGAGATGATTGTTCTAGATACAGAATATTCATTAGGATGCAAAATTCTTGAGCCTGGCAGAAACTCCAACAACAGAGAGATCTTAGCCTCTGCACACCTGTTGAGATGGCAAATATGAAACAGCAAATTGCTAACACAAGTGGTGAATGGAAAGACAAGGGGGCAGGCACAAGTTCACAATTACTGGAAGACGCATGGTAGGAGAAAAGACTATCCAGTCAACAGAAAGAGGTTTTGTAACAAATATCAATTGCTAGAATTTGTCTGAGATTCAGTGGGCATTAGAAATTTATGGAGCCCTTGTAGATGTTTCCCTGTTCATGGGCTTTCTCCTAGTCACTGCTGGGCTGATCTTGTATATAATACAATATGACCTATAATTATGACCCTCCCTGAATTGTGGGATGATCTTCAAAATAATTGCAGCGGAGTATCAGAAAAGTAATAAATGGGCCTTTATTAATAGTGGTAATTTGGAAAAGCCCCGGTAGACTATTTCTTTAAGAAAAATTTGCTAGAATGATATGAATACCTAACTATTATGTTATGCCTATATTGGCTACTGCTATAGCAAACTAACCACACTTAATCAGCCAGATAGCCACATTGTTCAAGCCAGCCAGCCACATTCAACCAGCCAGATGGCCACATGTAGCTAGCATGTTGGACATCACAGTTATAGAACTATCTTGTTTTCCTCTAAGAAAAGCCTGCTCAAGGGCTTGTCACATCAAGATTACACAACTACTTTCTAGTGCAGAAGTGGGCAAGATCCAACCTGCTATCCGCCTTGCTGCTACCCCACCCCCAGGCCAATCAAGACCTGGGGGCAGGGGAGCGTACAAAATCATTTGCTGTTCTAAGTGGCAGGCGGCACCCTCCCCCAGCCAGGGGCATGCAGTACCTAGAGGGAACCGCCAGTCATTTTGAACAGTGAATGACTTCATGCATTTTCTCGCCCCCAGGTCCCAATTGGGGGGGTAGAGTGGGGGAGTGCGCAAAGTCTCCTCCCCCTGTCAGGGAGGTCTGGCACCTTTTGGGAACTACCCCCTTCTGCCTGAAGACCTGCCCCTTCTGGGGGTGGAGTTGGCCCATGACCATGATCTAAAATTTGTGAAGTGTCCGCCCTCCTCCCCCCCAGCAAAAATTATTGCCCATCCCATCTTCATGCCTTGGATAACTGCATTATCTGTGTATTTCTGATGAGGTTGTCTTTGATTGTGGTCCATCTTTAGCAGTTTGCTGCTTGGCTGTGGATCTCATGTTAAAGAAGTACTTGATAAAATCAAGACGAGTTTATCTGTATGAAGCCACAGGGAAAGGGTTCAGGACCAAACAAAAGTATTGGAAGTACTGTAATAATACCTAACTCTTTTATAGCACTCTTCCCCAGTGGATCGCCAGCCCTTCACAGGGTAACACAGTATTGTTATCTCCATTTTCAGGATGGGGATTTGTCAGCCAGCAGCTGAGCCAGAGATCTCTCCTGAGTACTAGGCCTTACTTCTGCTATATCCAAAAATAAAACTCTTCTGAACCTGGGTTAGGTTCTGCAGTTGTCAATCTCCATTAGGATTGAGACTTCAGTTTGAATGTAACCTTTATTTTTCAACCTTCTCTACAATAAATAGTAAAATAACAGGGGCATTGAAAACCTGTACCTTGCATGAATTTTGAATTAATCTGACTTAAAAATATATGTACAAATGTGACAACTTCATATCAAAATTCATTTTGGTTGAATTATAAGAGAGAATGTTTCTAAGCTGCTATCCTTTATTTTGAGGATGTACTTGATTGTCTCCAAGATGCTGTCAATAATAATTATAGCTGTATCTTAAAAAGTAAACTGACTCCTAAATTTATTTTCTTTTCAGGACTGGTCGGGCAGCCTTATTGTTGCCTCCTTTGCTGGAGCTTTTGGGTCTTCGTTTCTTTATGGTTACAATCTCTCCGTAGTGAATGCACCGACAGTGGTAAGTAACTGAAAGATTTTAAAATCAAATTCCAGTAGAGGGTGATGTTGTCCAAAAATTACACAAACTCTTTGAAATATTTGTTCTATAGCTGTATGTGTAGACTACAGACAAAAACAAACGTCCTCTGCGATGTCCAAGGAATGCAGCCACTTTTCTGAAAAAATATCAGAAAAGCGGACGCATTTTGTCGGCATCCCTGTAAACCTAATTTTATGAGGAAGAAGGGATGTTCTGAAAGAGGGTTTTTTCCAACTTTTGGCCCTGTGTAGACAGGCCTGCCCAACCTACACTGTTTTTCCTCTGAATAAATATTGTTCTAAAATAGTACAGGTGACAGTCTGAGCTTAGAAGGGCCAACTCTCAGCTGAGGCACAAACAGATTGGTCTTGCAAGAGTGGAAGTAAAAGTGTATGTGAGAGATACATGGTATCTATGTACATGGTTAACCAATGAGCCTGTTTCTTCAGTTAACGCTCACAGTTACATACAGCTGTATTGAAGACAGCAGCACGGATGGGGGAGGTGGGAGCTGGTGCATGTGGGAAGCCAACTTTAAGCTGGCTCTTTGTGTGCCGGCTTCTGCTAGGGATGTAGTCAAGTTAACTTCTCACATTTCCCTTCTCCCTTGCTGCCTCTGTATCAGAGGCAGAAAGGGGGGAGAAGTAGGAGCTGGTGCTGGGGGAGCCGGCTTAAAGCTGGTTCCTCCCAGTATCAGCTCTGTGGTGCCACCTGCCCCCCACCATGCTGCTGCCTATTCGAGGCAGCAGTGCGGGAAGCAGGGAGGCTGCCGCAAAGTAGCCTCTGCCTGTGGTGGCCTGGGCTGGCCATAGACAGGGGTAGCAGCTACTGTGGCTGGGCAGGCAGCCTGGTTCAGTTTTGGCTTGTGCCATATCCGGGACCAATCCCTCTGCGATTCTGCAATTTAAAATGCAGTAATAGGAGCTAGGGATGTAATAGGATAGTTTAGCAAAAGCTTATCGGTTAACACTATAGACTACACACATTTCTCTCTCCTCTACCCTCCGACAGTACATTTTTTTTTAACATACTGGCCAGCAGCGGGGCTCAGTCCCAGCTTTCACTGGGTTCAAGACTTATCCTTGCTGCGGCTCTGCATTGAAAGTGTATTAGGAGCCAGGCGGGCAGGCAGCCTGGCTCCGTTACGGCTTGCGCCAGGTCTGGTAGCTCAGACTCCCCTCCAACAGGGGCTGCTGCCACCCTGTGCCACTGCCTCTATATCAGAGACAGCTGGTCCATGAGGGGAGCTGGTTTTTAAACCTGCTCCCCTCGCAGACCAGCTTCTGCATGGCACTCCACCCTGTTAGAGGCAGCAGTGCAGAGTGGCAGGGGGCTCCTCGGGAGTGGAGCTAGAGTGCACTGGCTTCTGGCCCCCCTCCAGGTACTACAGAATAGTTGAGTAAAACTGATAAGAATTCATGAAGTTAATTGACTATTCAATTAACCAATATCTAACATCCCTACTAGGAGCTGGGGGGCAGGCTGCCTGATTCCTACTGCCTTTTAAATAGCAGATCTGCAGCAAGGTTTGGTCCTGCACACTGTGCGAGCTGGGCTGCCAATCAACTAATTGAGTAGTTGATACAAATTCTATCCACTACTCGATTAGTAAATTAACCTTGTTTTAATATCCCTAGAGAGCTGCCTCCCCTCTACCCCTGGGGGTGAGGAGGCAGGAACCAGTGCTCTCAGGGAGACGTTTAAATACTGGCTCCTGGAGAACTCCAGTTCTTGCCTGCTCCCCCCATGGGTAAACCATATAAACGCTGAAAATTTATTTTTGCAAGCGATTACACGTTTGCAAAAATAAACTCATTTGAACATCCCTAGTGAGAGAGAGAGTGGCAGCTGTTGGATGTCTGCGAAAACATACACGGTAGGCTTGGAATGTGACAATTAGTCATGGTGGAGTTGTTTTTATTATGCAACTTTGACCTCTTCATTTGTACTCTGCTTCCTAGTGCAGTCTATTTCATGGTTCAAAAGTAGATGCTGCCAGTGCTGTTTATTTAGAGCAAGGTTGAGCCATTCTTAGGCACGTTGTCATACTTTAGTCTGGGCTACATGGAGTTTTTCAACATGTTGCCTGAGGAGCAGAACCACATCCAGCCTTCTAGTTTCCCTCTCACTTAGGGGAGGGGAGCAGTCTCTAGAACAGAGGTAGGCAATAATTTTGGATCCAGGGCCACTTCAGATATTTTTGAAGTGGCCCCAGGCTACCCTGGAAGGGGTGGGATCAGGACACTTCCATGCTTCCCTGCCCACAGACCCAGATTGGTCTGGGCGTGGTGGAGCGTGTGAAGTCCTGCCACCTCCCCCAGAGAGAACCACCAGCTGTTCTGAATAGCTGGCAGTTTCTTCTAGGTGCCCATGCCCCTGACAGTGGGAGGAGACTTCACACACTCCCCTGTGTCCCCCAGCCAATTAGGGCTTGGCGGGTTTGGGGGGGGGGAGCATGCAAAGTCTCCTCCCACCCTGCCCCCATCCTACAAGGAGCATGCAGCTCTTAGAAGAGCTGTGCCTGTTGCAGGGTGGGAGGAAACTTTGTGCGCTCACCCAGCCCCAGGCCAATCAGAGCCTGGGGGCGGGGGAAGTGCACAAAGTCTCCTCCTGCCCTAGCCCATTCCTGCAAGGGGCGCAGTGCTTAGAGTCACCAGGGTTGACTCTAAGAGCCATAAGCTCCCTGGTCCCTAGACTGTAATTGACCTGGGGAGTGGCAAGGCCTTCGTGGGCTGCATCAAACTGTTTGGCGGGCTGGATCTGGGCTGTGGAGGCCATTTCACCCACCCCTGCTCTAGCACATACCACTTTCGTGTTCATGCTGGCTGCAGCACAAGCCAGTGCTTTGGTAGAGTTAGGCTTTGCTCAAGCCTATCCCTGGTATTCACTCTTCACCTGTATAAATGGGAAGGGGACTAGCGCAAACACAGAAGCTCGTCTCCACCCTGCACTGGAGACCTCTTATGCGCTGTTATTTCCCTGCATAGGTCATGATTCTCTGGCTATGTCTAAACTACATTCCTCTTCCGAAAGAGGAATGTAAATGAGCCAGATTGAAAATGCAAATGAAGCACGGATTTACAAGTCTCACACTTCATTTGCATAATCGCGTGAGAGCACTTTTTCGAAAAAGGGTTTTTCAAAAAAAACTGCAGTCTAGATGGGGCTCATTTTTTCAGGAGTACAGGTTCTTTTGAAAAAGAGTGGGTTTTTTTAAAGGACCCCGTTTAGACTGCAGTTTCTTTTTTGAAAAAACGCTCACACGATTATGCAAATGAAGCACGAGATTTGTACATCTGCACTTTGTTTGCATTTTCGATTGGGCTCATTTACATTCCTCTTTTGGAAGAGGAATGTAGTTTAGAGGTGCCCTCTCTGAGCAGACCCCGTGGAACCAGAATGTAAATTTTCCAATGAAAACAAGCTCACTCTGTAGCTTAATCAGGGATTCCAGGGTCTGTTGCTCCTGGGCAGCCTTACTAGCATGCAGACTGCCCTGGGCTGAGAATAACCAGGGTTCCAATCCCTGAGCCAACTGGTTCCCTGTGGCCACTGGGGAAAAGCATATTTAGTTTAGGAAACACCATGGGTAGGAGGCACCCAGGGGTGTAAGGAACTTAAATTTCTTATAGGCACTGTCCTATCACAATGCAGGTCCCTGCCAGCTCTTAAAATAGCTCCCTGCTGGCTTCTGCCACAGCTCAGCCTGGTCTTGCCAGAGCTATGCACCAGAGTACACCCCCTTACTTATGCATCTGAAGGCACCTGCAGTGCTTTTGGTTCATTGTGAACTAGGGATGGTAGTAATAGACCAGTCGACTAACCGCACAAACTCTTAACGAACAACAAATAGTCTTGCGGCACCCTAGAGACTAACAAAAATGTAGATGGTATCATGAGCTTTCGTGGGCACAACCCACTCCTTCAAGTAAATGGAGTTTAAGAGGTCGGTCCAGATGTTGCCTAAAACCCCGACCAATTCACAGACTAAGAGAAGGTGGGCATTCAGCCACTTAAATCCTGTGCAAGGCCCAGTGCAGTAGATGCACTCTTGGCACACTTACCAGATTGGACCCCATTCAAAATCCAGCCATAGGAGGTGACAGGGATGTAAGCAAGTAGTCGAGTCGAGCACTCAACTACTCACTTCCCCACCACCACCTTGCTGCCTCGTGGGGGGAAACAGGAGCTGGTCCTAGGAGGAGCCAGTTTAAAAGCCAGCTCCTCCCAGCATCATCTCTCTGGTGCTGCCTGCCCCGTCCTCACCCCTGCTGCTGTCTCTGTCAGAGGCAGTAGGGGAGGGCAGGTGACGCTGCCGCAAAGCAGCCTCTGTTGACAGCAGCTGGGACTGATCGTGGAAAGGGGCTGCTGCCAAAGCATCCTCTGCCCATGGCAAGCCCAGGCTGCAGCGAACAGGGGCTGCAGAAGCCAGGACTGCTCAGTCCATGCTGGTCCTGTGCTGCTGTGGCTCTGCATTTTTAAATCTAGTAAGAACTGGGTGGGTCTTACTACATTTAAAATGCAGAGCCACTGCGGTCCCGACTCCTCCACCCCAGCTCTTGCCCGTCCAGGACCTCCCCGCTGTGGCTTTGCAGTTTAAATGTTGTAGGAGCTGGGCTGCCTGTGCACCCAACTCCTACTACATTTAAACTGCAGAGGCATAGCTGGGGTAGCTCCTGAACCGGTGTGAGCTGAGAGAGTGCTTTCCCTTATCAACTAATATTGTAGTCAATACAAATTGTATTAACTGCCTCTTAACATCCTTAAAGAGGTGATGCTCTCCGTGTGACTTTTAGACTAGTGGAGATATGGGAGACCTAGATCACCCTGGCAGAGCAGGAGATAGAATTTGAATAGGGGTTGCCCACACCTCTCAGGAGTGTACAGGCAGCCCCCGACTTGCAACGTGATCGGTTCCTGCGGAAGCGTCGCAAATCGGGGGCGTCGTAACTCGAACCCGCGTTTACAACAGGTGCCAT